TAGAGATGCCACAAATAAATAAATAAAAAAAAGAAATTTCAGAGAATAAACAAAGAAATAATAAATAAATAAGTAAGTAAATAAGTGTGTGAGGAGGTGAGGAGAAATGGGTTATCTGATTTTTCAAAACTTTTGGCAGCATTTCGTTACCCCCATGGGGTCGAAGTGTGCCGAAAAGACTAAGTAAGAAAAAAAAAAAAAAATCAGAAAATTTCGGCAGCACTTCGTTACCTCCACGGGGCTAAAACGTGTGCCGAAAGCAAGAAAGGCTAACACCTAATCAGATTTAGGGTTGCCGCCAAGAATTTTCAGAATAAGTAAAAATAAATAAAATAAATAAAAAAATAAGAAAAGAGGGTGGGGAAGAAGATGAGAAAACTAACAACTAATCAGATTTAGGGTTGCCGTAGAGAAAATCGAATTTTCAGAATAAATAGAAAAATTAATTAAATAAATCAGAAAATGAGAAAAGAAGGTGGGAAAGAAGATATTTTGAATTTTTGGAAAAAGAGAAAAGATAAATCAAAAGAGAGGTGGAAAGAAGAAAAACAGAAAAGTTTTCGAAGTTGGGGGGAAGGGGAATGAAAAGTGAGGGAGAAAAGAAAGAAATAGGTGGGGGGGAGAGAAAAAGATATAGTGGGAGGTGGGGGGATGATGTGGTGGTAGTTGGGGGAGAGGAGGGTTGGGAAAAGGTGGAGAAAAAGATGCAGTAGAAGGTGGGGGAAAGAGAAGGGGTGAATCAGAGGAGAGAGGAGAGGTAGGGAGATTGGGTTAGTAGAGGGAGAGGGGAGAAGGGAGTGATACCTGGCCCTTGGTGTCTCCAAGGGCACAAGGTACACCAAGACCAGGAGGGTCTTGGTCTTTGCTGCAGCAGCCAGTTGGAGGAGAGAGGGGGGGGGTTGAGATCTTGATCAGCCCCCAGCAGCACTTCTACAGATGTCCAGATGTAGGGTCTGCTGTGTGAGCAGACCCTCTCCACTGTAGAGCAGCACCCTAAGTAGGGGGGGGTCTTCAGTCCCGTGGAGATGGTCACGTGCACAGGCAGCAGCAGCCGCGGGGGCACCTCTTCAACACGATTGTGCCGTGCTACAAAGCCATGGACACACTGTGGCAAGTGTGTTATGAGGCTGCTTACACACGCGCATGGCTCGGCAGGTGCCTGGGTTCAAACCCCAGTGGCAGCAGTTGCATCCCGGATCTTGATAATATAAAATTCGGGAGCGAGGCAGCGTGGGCGCGTGGCGCGCGCGCACGTGCGGCGGCCTTGGCGCTGGTGCGCACGCGTCGTGATGCGGCTTCCTTTTTCGCCACGTGGAGCTCTCCTGCTGCAGCACCTTTCTCTGTTGTTTTTCCTGCTTTTTCACCCGAAAACGACCGGAAAACAGCCAAGAACCCGACTGTCGGGTTTTGCCGTATTTCCCTGTTGTGCGGTGTGGTGGGTGGGGGCGGGGACCGTTCCCGCTCCGATACCAATGTAGCGGACCCACCAGGTGTGGTGCTCCGCTACTGGTAGAGATGGAGATGGAGGAAGAGGGGGGGAGCGAGATGGCACAACGCAGCTCCCCAYGCAAGACTCCAACGCACGTACTCCAMAATGTGCAAGTGAAGAATGAGKCTGAAAACAGACAATGGCTGGGGTATACCCCAGCGGACTGACGGGACTGGACTGGACTGGCTGGTACCGACAGAGGCACCGGCCTGGACTGGCCTACCCCGAATACAACACAGGCCAAGGGGCTGGTCTCAAAGGCCAACTCGAGGTCCGCTACACTCAAGCAGCGCTTCCGCATGGCTTACGCAGGAATGAATGAATGGCTCGACGCTGCCTCTTGAATTATACTTCAGGAAGTCGCTGGTCTGCCTCTTTCCACAGTCCTATATGGTACTTGGTGCACACAGTCCCTGGTGCACATAGTCCCATATGGTACTTGCTGACTGGTCTAAGTGTGACTGGGCCTGGGTACCGCTGACTCAGCAAGGGTGGACTTCACCACTTGCCCACTTGCCTCTAGTCTACTTTGAGCAACGTTGGAAGGGCCACTTCTAGACCTTCCGGAAGTCTGTGGACTTGGCCCTTCGACACTGTAGCAGCTACGACCTTGACCTTTAAGAACTGTAGCAGGTACGAACTTGACCTTCCAGAAGCGCTACAGCCATGACTTCTAGAACTCGCTAAGACCTCTACCAGACAGGTCTACAGATCGAACCCCTACAACCTACGGACCTACGACAACCTACCAACTGTTGCGAATACACAGGTCACGGGTTCAACTCTCGGGGTCGACACACGTACTGTACACAGGTAAGGTAAAGACTAGGGATCGAGCACTGGGATCTGCATTTGCTACTGCTAACAGGTGAATGCCGTCTCACTCCCACCGGCCTAGATTCGAGGTCCTCATAGAATGATTCAGTCCAAAACCGGATTTTTACCTTTATTTTCTCTCTTGTAGGATCTAACTACGCCGGGAGCTGTTTCTAGAAGTTCAGTTCTAGTAAACCAGCGGTCGTCCTCGAGTTCATGATAAGCAAATCGTACCTTATACAATTTCTGTGGACGACCTCTACCTCCTGTTCTGAATACTTCTTCACCTACAATGCCCTCAATGTCATACCTTCCATCCATGTTCGGAGGGATCATGGATCTTCTTGATGGAAACTGTTGGTTTGTAACACACGGCAACAACTTTGACGCATGGAACACAGGGTAGGTGTGGAGGTGTGTTGGGATCTCACTTGTATAGGAGGGCCCATCCTCTCCGCCCTTAACTTCTAGGACTGGCCATGGTCCCCTGTATGCTGGTAGTAACTTCTGCGAAACGTTTTCCTCAGGAGAAAACTCTTTGGACTTTACCCAGACTAGGTCGCCTACTTGAAACTGCGACGGACGACGGTGCTTATTAGCCTGTTCTATCATTCGGTGTTGGGCCTTTCTGAGGTTCTCAACGACGGTAGCTAACTCCTTCTCATGATGTATCGCAAACTCCCTAGTACCGGGCGGTAGCCTATGAATCTGATCCTGGTTAAGTCCTTCAAACGGTCTGCGCGGTCTAAAGGACTTATGCAGCTCATTCGGAGTACAACAAGTGGCTAGGGGCACGCTGTTGTTATATGCACTAGCTACCTTGGGAAACATCTCGTCCCAGTTGACTTGATCTGGTCTAATATACATACGCGGAACTTGCTGCAGGATCTTATTCATCTGCTTAGTCTGACCGTTAGTCTCTGGGTGACGGTCAGACAACATTAACAACTTTGACCCGTATACTCTCATTGACTCCTGCCAGTTCTGAATTGTAAATCGGGTGTCCCTGTCACTAACTATGGACAATGGGATCCTGTGATCACCGACCCAAAAGTCAAAAGACTTCTGAATTACTACCTCTGTACGGGCTTCAATGGGTAAGGGGACAAAAACAACATATTTGCTAAATCTATCCACTATTACCATGACTTGGCTCTTTCCATGCCTACTTTTGACGCTAGCATCCATGAAATCAAGGGATATTGAATCGCTTGCCTGATCAGGTATAGGCAAGGGTCGAAGAAGACCTAGAGGGGCACGCGTAGTTATCTTATTCCTCTGAGAGACTTTGCAACTGCGAAAGTACTCTATGCAGTCGGCTTTCATTCCTGGCCAAGTGTACGCACGCATCAGATTGGCTAGAGTCTTTTGCCAACTGGAACGTCCCTCTATGTCGCGACATTCCCCTAGGATCAAACTACAAATCTCCTCACTATTAGGAATGCACGGACGGTCTACTACGTTGGTCTTCTCGAATAGTAATCCCTCTGTAGTGCGGTAGTCTGGTTCGGTCTTTGGGGCCTCCTTAACTTTCTTGAGGAGGTCACTATAAATAGGGTCCTACGCATACGCTTTTCTTACTTTCTCTTGCATGTCTCTCCCTATATCCAGATAGTGAATTACAAATCCAAAGTTATATGATCTCCTACTTAGAGCATCCTCAACTACGTTATACTTGCTCTTGATTGGTTTGAGCTCAAAGTCATACTGGTCTATCTCAGCGGCCCACCTAGTTAGATTAGGTGTCATCTTGGCCTGCGTTTGCAGCCATCTAAGGGTCTCGTGGTCTGAATAAACTTTGAAGTGTCTCCCAAGCAGATAATGCTTTCAGTGCTCTAAAGCCTGCCCGAGAGCGTAGAGTTCTCTCTCGTAAGTTGAGGTAGGCTCAGGTAGCTACTTTCTTTGAAGGCATCCTCGCTGAGATAAACACTACGGGTCTATAGTCATTGTCGTCGTCCTGTTGCAACACAGTGCCTATACAATACTGACTTGCATCTGTGGTGACGACAAATGACAAGGACGGATCTGCTACCTTGAGGACAAGATACTCTATGAACGCTCGCTTTAACTTCTTAAGAGCGGATGCATAATCTTTGTCCCACTTCCAGATTGCATCATTTTTTAGCAATCTACGAAGGGGAGCGGCGATGGCTGAGAAGTTCCTTACGAACTTCCTCTAATAATTAGCTAGGCCTAGATACGATCGCAACTCTGTCATCGTGCGGGGCGTCGACCAATCACTAATCGTCACTATCTTGCTATTCTTAGGCTTAACGTCATCTCCGTCTAAGACGTGGCCGAAGTACAAGACTTGTGTTTTTACCCACTCGCACTTCTTTGCATTGATCTTGAAGTTGGTCTCTCTCAAATTCTCAAAGACTAACCTCAAATGACCCTGATGCTCTTGGAGGGTCTTACTGAAAACCAAGATATCGTTTAGGTAGACTACAACAAATCTATCTAACCAAGGCATAAACATATCATTCATACAGCGCTGGAATGTGGCTGGCGCATTGGTCAGTCCAAAGGGCATCACGATGAATTCGTAGTGCCCATATCTAGTCTGGAAAGCAGTCTTGTACTGATCATCAGGATGAACTTCTACTTGATGATATCCGGACTTCAAATCTATCTTCGAGAAATATTTGCAGCTCTGCACCCGATCCAAAAGATCGTCTATCATGGGCAGCGGTTCAATATTTTTCACAGTAATAGCACTCAGACCCCTATAATCGGTACACATGCGGAACTCTTCCTCCTCTTGGGGGACAGACAACACGGGTGCTCCGAAAGGAAACGAACTCGACCTAATCCAACCCTTTTCGAGGAGTTCGTCTAACTGCTTACGCAACTCCTCTAACTCCCTTGGGGACATCCTGTAAACTGCACCCTTAGGAGTTCTATCGCCAGGCTCTATCCCAATGAGGTGCTGGATTGGTCGCGACACTACTCCTGTTGGCGGCTCTGCCAAATCTTTAAACTCTTCCAGCAACTTGACAATAGCTGGGTCGATTAGCTTCTTTTCGGTAGGCTCAGTGACAAGCCTCATGTAAGCTATGAAGACCTGCTCTTCTAACTGTTCCTTCCTTACTAGTCGCGCGAATGCGGGAACACTGAGACAACAATGTGTCAGGGATTTATCCACTCCTGACACATAAAACAAGCCTGCAGTCTAAAGTTCGCGTGATGGACTAGGGAGGCTACACGCATGCTCTCTTAAATGTAGTGTTGCCCCTGCTGCCTCTTCCCAGTCCATACCTAGGACTATATCGAAAGAGAGGTTATCCTCTACGAGGAGAGTTAGGGAATGGAGTAGTTTCTCTAGGCGAAGGTACGTCTGGACTCCCTCGACGTAATCCTTAACATGCATCATGCGGTTGTCTGCGAACATACTGACTATGGGTCTTCCAACTTAAACTCTGGACTTTAAGGCCTAACCTTAGCTTCTTTAGCGCTCTTCGACTAATATAGCTACGCGTAGCCCCTATGTCTATAAGGGCCCCTACTCTGCTTTTAAAAACCTTTAAGTCTATTAGTACAAGTTGTCTCTTGCTCTCCTTCTTCATTTTGGCCCAAGTTGGCATCCTCTTTTTCAATTCTTCTGCCAGACCTGTGAGGGAAGTGCCTAGAGAGACTCTAACACAAGTAGTCTCTGGAAAGCTAAGTAGGCACTGACCTGCAACCTCTATCATAGACTCATGTGGTGTGGGAGTTTCCTGGTGGTGCGCGCACACTTCCCCACATGGTCTAATGGTAAGGGTTGTTGCAACCCCTACCGACGGCTTCCTTTGACCCCTGAACAGCAAATCGGGCTTCCCTATACTTTGGACAATATTAAATGATATGGGCAGGGTCACCACAATATATGCACTGCCCCTGCTCCATCCGATGTTGCAACACTCTCTGGTGCAAGGCTAGATCCTCCCAAGGCCGGCCCTGTGGCCAACTTGGGTGCCAACCTCCTGTCCATTGAGGTGACCTTCCACCTCTACGCTGTGGTGACACAAGCGGTTAACGGATAGCTAGAAATTCAGGAATGAAAATTCTGAAGTAAGGGTTTTGAGCAGTTTGAAAATCCTGAATGGTCCTGAAGAGGTAAAAGGTCTGAAGACCCTGAAAACCACCTGTTTAGGCAGGCTGCATCCTGAAGTGGTGAAGTGAGAGTTTTGGGCAGTCTGAAAATTCTCAATGGTCCTAAAGTGGTGAAAGGTCCGAAGACCCTGAAAATCACCTATTTAGGCAGGTAGCATCCTGAAGTGGTGAAGGGTGTCCTGAAGTGGTGAAAGGTCCGAAGACCCTGAAAACCACCTATTTAGGCAGGCTGCATCCTGAAGTGGTGAAGGGTGTCCTGAAGTGGTGATGAAAAATACGGTTGTTGCTAACCTTTTCTCTGTGGTGACCGACTAGGCCTCGAACGATTCGGTAGAGGACCTTGACCCCTACCTCCCTCTTGGCAGTTCCTTTGACCGCCAACCCCCTGTGCACCCGGACCTCGACCACCCATGGCTTGGCCCCCTTAGCCTTGGCCTCCTCCTCTACCTTGCGGCCTCCCGCCAACTGCGACAGTAGCGTAGGTTCTCCCTTGACCCACACTACTGTCTTGCTCTTCGAGGTGCCACTCTAGTTGATTGTAAGGGACTTCATCAGTACCACCCTCATCTAAAGTAAGGATCATGTGATCCTTTGCCCTGACTTGCCCCGAGATGGTACGACCCTTCCATTTTTTCCCCTTATCTTGTGCCAAAAAGTGGACTTTGGCGTGGATTTGGCCTCAAACAGGACCACCTCTCTACTTAACGCATCGTACGTGATGGTGGCCTGTTGTTTTTTTTCAAAGAAATGTCGTGGTAAGGGCTTTGGCATGGCACGATAGAACAAGTTAACTAATTGGGTCTCAGTGACCCCGTGGTCTGGGATGGCTACCAGATCGTCTATAACTGCCTTGAGTGCCCTTGCACTCTTCTACTGCCGTGAATGGATTGTTTGTAATTTGTCAGAGGCCCTGACGACCCGCGTGACGTCACCGAATCTCTCCCGAAGGAGTTTAAGGAACTTGTGCAGAGGGGTGAGTTTAGAATATGCAACCATATGTTTTTCACAATCGGTTGCTCGCGCGAGAGACCAGGCAAAACTAGCCGCTTCATCTTTTAACGCATGGAAGGCTACGAGGACTTGTTTCTTATGTGCAATGTGCTGAAGATACATGTAAGTGTTAATGCTAGCCTCCCAATTATCGAAGTTCTCGTCCTTCTTCCCGCCATAAGAGTCATGAAACTTAAGCTTGTTAGACTCTTTGCAGGAACGCCCTTCACTCTCTGCAGTGGCCACTACTCTGGCACCCTCAATGGCGCGGGCGCAGAATTTCTCTGCGCCGTCCTTTAGCTTCTTAACTTCGGTCCCTACATGTGTCATTACGTCGCGCGCCAATTCCCTGAAACTACACCGGATGGAGTGGAGGGTCATTTCCTGGCCCCTAACAGATTGATAGTGCTCAGTCCAGGCCCTGCCTAAGAGCTCAATACTCCCAATGATCTTGTCCAACTTGGCCTGAATATCAGGCTGGGCCTCTACTTCTTGTCTACAGGTCTGTAAGCTCTCCAGTTGTTTGGCCACCCGATTGGCTTCTTCTGTCCTCCTCTTCCTCTTTCTCGCCAGGCGTAACTTTCAGTCCTAACTCTTCTCATTCTCTATTGCCTGGCGCTCTAGGGGATCACTCGTCGCTTCGATCTCCCTTACCTGGTTGCTCCTCCTCTTCAATCTCTTCTTCTTCTGCAACTCTCATTTTCTCTTCCTCCTCTTGCTGTAATCTCTTCATCTCCTCCTCTAGCTTCTTCTTCTTCGCCGCCTGCTCTTCTGCTATCATCTTTAACTTTGCTTGTCTAAGGAGCTCCTTCTCCTTCCTCTCCTTTAGGATGGCGGCGATTTGTTCTTCTTGAGCCTTGCTATAGGGCATGGTGTTCTTCCCACTGCGAGTGTCAACCATGGTGATAGGTGCACAACCGAACAACAATTCCATAGTACCTCACCACTTAGACCTCGGCACCTGACTAACTGAACCTAAGACTCAATCTAAGGACCACGGAATCCAAGTAGGCTCCTCCCAACTAGGGTCTCTAGCCTAGACCTACTCTAAGGCTGACACTACAGGACTTGTTGATCATCAAGAGGTATTTTTTAAGGAGATCCCCCGTAACTCCTCAGGAATTATTTACCATCAAAGATAGGACGACGCGATCAGCCAATCCTCTCAAGACTTAGACAGCCTGTTGTGCAGCCCACAACTCAGATTCTGGGCCTACCGTGCCACATTGAGCAACCTGTCGGTCAGTACCGGTCCTTGGGAGGGTTCGTGTCCCCCGGGACAGTCGAGTCGTCAGGCACGGCCTTTAGCCCTACTAAGCCCATGTGGGTTTTGGTCAACAAGGCTCTATCCTTCATACCCGGAGTTCCTATCAACTGGACAGAAGAGACTCAATGGAGGAAGAAGAGACAGACAGACTCAGTAAGTACCATAGGGTGAGTGCACATCCATAGGGCGAGGGGATAGGCTGAGGGCTTGGCGAGAATATACCAACTTCAGCTTGGTCAAAATCGTGGTCAGCAGGCCTGGTCAACGCCTTGGTCAATGCTTGGTCAACCCGTCGGGCAACGCTCCAGTCAACCGTGGTCAACGCCTTGGTCAATGCCCGAGTCAACACCCAAACCAACTTCGGTCAACCCCTTGGTCAACCTCCAACTCGGCTATGGCTGCTGCCTTCTTCTTCCTCACCACCCTTCTTTTTCTTCCTTTTTCTTTCTCCTTCCTTGCCTGGTTCGTCTTTCACCCCGGCTATGTCTTCCCTCTTCTTCTTCGTCCCTCCTTCCTCTTCCTCAACTATGGCCTCTCTCTTTTCTTTCGTCTCTCCCTCCTCCTTCGCTCGTCTTCTTCCTTCTTCCTCTGTGTCCGAGCTCCGTGGCTATGGCCTTCTTCTTCTTTCTTGGACCGCACAACCAATCTTGTATCGCTCCTCTCTCTCTCTCTCTCTCTCTCTCTCTCTCTCTCTCTCTCTCTCTCTCTCTCTCTCTCTCT